CTGCTGTCTGGTCTGTTTCCTACAGGTAGAACATACTGCTTCATCGTCATGAGGTTTTGGCATATGTCAACATATGAAGGCCCGGATGACCCCGAGAGTACAAAGATCTTCAAAGTGTCCTCTAGTGAAGATGGCGAACCACAGAAGAGAATAGTGACAGCAGTCTATGAGTAAGCGCTCAGCTTATCGTCTGCACAGACGCCCATATAAGTATTACTTGCAATCAAATCTCCTGTCATTCAGCTTTGACATGTTCAAATCTATTTCATGCCAACTCTTTTAGATCAATAATTTGCTCAGATGTTGGGTGCCAAATCTCTCACAACTTAAGAAAGTACAAATATTTACTTAGAGACTTAATTACTATGTTGGCAAGCCCTCAAAGTTACCTGCAAGCCTTCCATATGGCTTGTCTGTTTTTGTTGGGTGGGTAACGGAGCCACAGAGCTGATGGTAGCGAAGTAAATATTGTTCATATGTATGTAGAAAGGATCATTTTGGAGAAATGTTCCAAAGTGTCATGTGTGGGTGGATGAGAGTCTTATCTAATATGTATTGCCTCACTTGGGGAAAAGGTGAAAGTGATATATTTATTTCACTGGAGAAATGCTGCCAAGACACTTTAAAGAAAGAAAAATATTAATAGAAGCACTGATGGGAAGAAAAGTAAATAAAAGCCAGGCCAGAGGTAATCCTATGATCCTATCTGTATTCACTGTAATACTTCTGTAAGTTCACAGTGAGGCATCATGGCATACTGTCCAAATATTAACAGACACCCAGGCCGCCTGTGAAGCTCAACTGAGGAAAGGAGTTCCAAAAAAGTAAATCTCGAACAAGCACAATAATAAATCAGACCAGCTGTGTCCCTCTTTTTTTTTCCTATTCAACCAACTGAATAAATTAGATTCTAAATATCCAGCAAAATGCTACACATACCGCATGTGAGCAAACAAAAGTCCTGTCACAATGTCTTGTCTTTTTCCATGCTTGAGCATTGTCTGACATTGGGAAATAGGATCTTATACGAGAGAACAAAAACACTCCTTGATGTTTAATAAACTCAATAAAGTGCCACTGCTACGTCTCTCACTCAAGGTGCCAAATATCATGCAAGCATTATTGTGGCTCTTTACTGAAAAGTCATGTCTTGATGAAGCCATGGGCAAAAAGTAACAACTTGTGAACATTTTACCATTCTGTTTCTGCATTACTTTAGTTGTTCTTCTTCTAGTCTAAAGAACCACTGATATGATTTGCCAGTGTAGCAGGAAAGCGAAATAATTTCAGTCAAAGCCTCTTTCCATTTCCATCAGTAATCCTGTTAGTTGCTGGACCACTTAGTGTAGCTATTTTGCCTAATGCCCACCTATCTAGTTAGCCAGATTCTCTTTCCTACTGTTTCAGGTCTTGAAATCCCCTCTGAGAAAGCCTGTTACACTTCAAATGTTATCCCAAAGGCTAGCAAACAGACCGTTCGGCAGGATAAGGAAGCTATTTTCAGGATCCTTACCTCATTGTTTCTAGGTGAGACTAGAACTTAGTTTGAGTTGAAACTTAGATGGTTTAAAGACCTGCCGTTTGTATGCTTTGTTATGATTCAGGGACTATTTTGAAACAATTGTAGTATTTCCCCCTCATTTGGCGGTGGTGGCGAAGTCGATAGGGACTTGGCTTGGCAACTGGAAGGTCACCACTTCAAGTCCCGGCAAGACCAAGTGCTACCGAGGTGTCCCTGAGCAAGGCACCGTTGCCTACACTGCTCCCCGGGCGCCGTTCAAAATGGCAGCGCACTGCTCCTACACTAGGATGGGTCAAATGCAGAGAAACAATTTCCCCACGGGGATTAATAAAGTATATCAAAATAAAAAATAATTTTTTTTTGTTAATGTTAAATGAGGTCCAGAAGTTGTAAACAAGTGCCATGTGCTAGTAATCTGTACTCTTATTAAAATGTTGGCGATGATTGGCTTCAAAATGCTTTGGGAAACGTTGAGTATTCGAAACAGTTGGTCTAAACGGAGTAGGTGTGTAAATCTGTGTATTACTTCAATACTGTTTACACTACTGACACTGAGTTTAGGATGCTCTTCTGAATTTCCAGTATCTGATTTTAACCAGTCAGAGATCATGTTAAAGATGTCTTCCCCTTTACTTCCAGATTCAAACGAGAGCTGACAAAGAGAGCCTATCCTGACTGGAAGGTCACAACCATTTGGCATTGGCACTGGAAACTGGCGGAGTGATGCAAATTAAAGTGGCAAGGACATTTGTCAGTTATCAGGGAAGAAGTGATGGCTGAATGTATCTAGCAGCAGATTGAAGAACTGTGAATCAGGATCACGGGACCCAGGGCCGTAACAGTGAAGCTGTTCAGACAGCTGAAGACCTCCAAACTGTACAGATGAGTCCACCTTACTACTTGAACATCGTCCTCAGACCTTCAGATGCCTTTAATGCCCACCTCAAGTGATTTACCACAATAAGAAAAAATGAAAGGTCATAGTCCTTGGACTTCTATACAACTCCATAAATCAGCTGCAGTTTTGAATAAGTATATGAAGGGATGGATGATTTTCCTGGGCTTTTAAATGCGTTTGGTTGAAAAAATTGCTTTTGAATGTATTGCCAAATAAATAAAAACCTTACTCCAGCTCCATGTAACACTTTTGTTTCCATATTGCTCAGCCTTCCTCCGTGAATAGAGTTTCCTCATGACCTAAATTAAGTTTGGGACTTTGGTCATGTGACATAAGTGACCATTTACTTTGCAAGACTCAAGCTAAATACTTAATGTGGTCACACGATCACAACTGAGCCATCTCCATGACAACTGAGAACACGTTTTCCACTCCACTTTTTACACCAGACCATTCACCCTTTATTTTACACGGGAGTAATGCCTTGACCACAAGTCACAATTCAACTTAGCTTGGTAAACTAAGCAAGTGTACAACAAATGAAAGCTTTAGCGCAAGTTCAATAAGGAAGACCTAACTCGAGTCACTCACACGTCACTCTATGGCTCCCTTCCCCCCTCATTAAATACGAGGGCGTCACCCCTCAGCAGCCAATCGCTGCACATGCTAAATGCCTTAAATGCCTGCTCTTCCTCCCTGTCAGTTGTCATTGCAGATGATCACACGCAACCCTCCTCCACCCCTCTCGCCTCCTGTCTCCTTCAGGACAAAGCTAAACCTTCCTCCTTCAGACCGGTCTCACCTACTCATCACCACCACCAGTGTCTAGACCCCGGGGATTTCATCGGAGCGGTGCTTTCCCTCCTGAATGATTATCCTGCAAACCGGGGCCTCATCGCCAAACACCATTACATTCTCCTGTTGTATTATCATGGCAATCATTTCATTCATATGACGTGTAAACAATACATATGTAATTCTTACATCACGTCTCTCCGGTTTGAACTATTGGGGTGTTAAACTGGTCTATATATTGTGTTTCACTATGTAAACTCCCCCTGGGTTATGAGTATTTAATAAGTGACAAACAGCACCACACTTTGCATTATATAATATTTCAAATCAAGTAGCATGCGGTACCACACACAACATGCAAAGCTACCGTATAGGATTTCGTCAACCTGGAAAAAAACTGAAATGTTTACAACGCTGTACAGCAACAAATTAAATAAAAAGGGCCGTGAAATGCTTTGAAGGTTATGGACTTTCAGAAAGTTAGGGGTATTATGTTAGCTGCTAGTGTATGTTACAGAGAACATATGGTACATGTTATGTAAACTTAATTAAAATGTAATACATTAGTGTTGTGATACGTTGTGTTAATAAGCATCGGTTAACTAAATGATACCATTTGCATAGAAAACAGGAGGAGGCGTATGTCCTGGTTCATGTTTTTTGGCGAGCCTGTTGACTGTTCCAGCAACTCCTTTAAGGATCGACAAGAGATCAAAACATACACCAAGTTAAATTGTTGTACTGCATCGCTGCAAGCAGGAGTGACAAATTCTCCCAGAAAATGTCCAACTCAAAGGCAGCCTGTGTCTGGGCCCACGGCCATTGCCAGAAATATGTCAATTGTCAAAACCATCACGTCTGACAGGTTTGTGAATGCTGCGTGTCATCCCATTTTGTTAAAGCTTGCTGCAATATTATTTATGTTGACAACATATCTGACAAACAGAGACGATTCTGTCATTAGCGGCTGTTAATTCATGCATAATGAAATACGCAGAGGATTATTCTAATTCTCCTGCATAGTAATATGTGGTCTGTGGAAGTTTGCGTGGGGGTTTTTTGGTTCCAGTGGAGCATCTCCCAGAGTCATAATGAGATTAAATGAGTGCGGTTAGCTTAACACATGTCAATATGCTCATGGATATGGTGAGAGCACATTAAACAATTTACCTCGCCTGTGCATCACTCAGTTTAATGGAAATTAACGAGAAAACAAAAACAAGTGATGAATATACAAAAAGCTAATGGTTTTTTATTAGTTATTTGACTGTTTTGTAATCTTCAGACATGTGCATCAGTCTAGGCTGCCTGCCAACCTGATTCATTAATCTGGTTAGCGAAACAGATTGCAAACAATTCCTTGTATCTCTTTGAAAGTGTGTGTGTGTCTGTTTGAATGTCTGCATGTGTCTCAGCTCCAAGACGCCATCAATTCATTGTGCTATCTCTATCAGACTCACATTTTATGGCTGATTAATATAATTACAAGCCTGAAAATTGAAACTAATACTCTGATAGAAAAAAAATGATAACCTACCTCTCATTATTTACCCAGTATATATTGTTAAGTCCAGAGCAATGAATTAAAGATTACCACCGTGTCACAGCCGCTTAGGTATACCAACAAAAGAATGCTTTTTTTTACTTCCAACTAAGAAAAGATGAAATGTTGACATGACAAATGAGACGTTTCTTTGCATGAAATTCTATTTTTCACTTTAATTGAGACACTGATTCTCAATAAACAGACATGTAATAGGAAAACATTTCTTTTGTTTGCTGACATGTTTATCTCTGAATTTGTAATGTTATTAAATACTTTGTGAAATGACTTGTGAATTCTTGGACAGCCAGAAAAATGCCTTGTTGATTTGTTATGAAGCAAGATTAAAGCAATTAAATCAGAAATAAATTAAAAACAATTCACATATTTTTGATTAGATTGTTTCTTAAGCATTGGTGTGTTTACATTATAAGAACTGTTTTATGCCATACAGTGTCATGTGTTTGAATCTTTTTAATGTATTTGACAGGAAACCTCTACTACAATTCAGGCCGAAACAAAGACAGTTTAAATCAAACAAGTAAAGACTTCAACACAATCTGTGATTTCAAAACAAGGAGTGGACTTTAACTTTAATCATCATTACAGTGTAATGTTTTGGGGTTGAAAATATGAACCTTATTGTTATTAGAATGGTTTGTACTTTGAACCCACCCATATTCCTGAGGGGTATACGTTTATTTATGGGTGTAGAATATGCTCAATGATGCATTATTGACTGAAAGCTGTATGTTAAACTGCATCAAACACATGTTAGCGATGAGGAAAGACTGCTGGTAAGCTAGAGTATTATATTGCTTTTATTTCCTTGAGTGTGTTACGGAAAACCTCAACACAAACCTCCCCGTCTTGATGCTTCATGGACGCTAGCTTCCAGGCTTCCTCGAACGTCTCCTCGGACACATCAACACCCACATTCCTGAAGATCTCTGCAATCTGTGACGAGGGGGATGTCAGAATTGCCATTAAAAACCTTTTATTTTACTAAAGAAATTATATATACAGTACAAGTTATACCTGAAAGATTTATGTATTTTTGTTTTTCATTGTAATTTTAGATTATATAACTACACTGCCACACTGCAGATAAATAATGACCAATCTTAGTATAAACCATTGGACCACAATCACATATAAATAACACTATAATTATTTATTTTGTTTTTTGTTTTTGTAGGCCTAGAAAAAGCAATTTGCCACGACATGGATTGCATTGGGGCTTTTCCTTGGAGTCCATCACACGCTTTACTCACAGTTTATTTTTAAGTACAGTATAGTGCCTACCTCCTTCTTGGTGCGAGGTAAGAAGAAGTGTTTCTCGTGAACACCCTGAAGGGCATGGACTGATGGATGCAGAAGATCTCCAGCTGTGGATGAATCACCGTAGTCGTTGTTGTCACTGAATCTCTTTATGCGTGGCGCTGGAAGGTCGGCTCGCACAGACGGGACCCCATAGGTGCGGCTGTCTTTGTAAAGAGAGACCACATGATGAGTATGGTTTATGAGGATATGGGAAAATATGAATAAGTAATTTTTTGCGCTTGTAAAACCGTTGCATATTAATACAAATGTCATCAAACAAGTATTTTTAGCAATAAAATAAATGCATGAGTGAACCAGAAAACACTTAAGTAATTTCAAGTTAATAGGAGTATGACTGTTATTAGACAGTACGACGATATAATGTGGTGAGACTTTACATATACAAGAATACATTTAATAAGTTAACTTACAATATTTATATCCTACACAAATGCAAATTCATTGGGTCATGCTTGTTGAAAATATCTGCATGTAAGGGAGAGAATCTGCTTATTGCAGTTCTTGGTTGTTTCACCTCATCTATACTAAGCACATTTTGGTCTTGAATATGTTTTGTTGTTATCCACAATTCTCACCTGCTGGGTATCAATAGACTCAAATACTGTTAGTATTATACTGTTAGTTACTACAGCCATTTTGTCTTTTATGTTCTTCAGTCCACATCCCACATGTAGCACTGTGTGATAATGCGTATGCTCCTCTAGCTATCGTTCACCACACATCTCTATTTCTGACTTACTTGATGTGCATGGATCCCTGACAGACCCGATAAGGTTGGAGGAAGTCATGAAGTGGTCTGGGGCGGCCTTGAGTCTCCTGAGGGTCCTGAGGGTCTTCAGTGAGCAGCCTGGCTTAAAGGGCTCCAGGTCCTCAGGCTTAACGAGGGCCCGCGAGGCAGGAAGCTGTTCCGACTCTGACAAAGGCTTCCTCTCCATGTCAGCTGGAAGGGTGCTGGTCTGACACTCTGCGGGAGACAAATTAAATAGGAAACGATTTAGAAAATGAGCCTCCACATGTAACCTCTGCATCATCCATTAATCCATTAACTGTAACCGCTTATCCTATTCAGGGTTGCATGGGGGCTGGAGCCAATCCCAGCAGACATTGGGCGAAGGAGGGGTGAGACAGATAACATACACACTCATATTTACACCTACGGAAAATTTAGAATCAACAATTAACCTGAGCTGCATGTCTTTAAATTGTGGGAGGAATCTGGAGAACCCAGAGGAAACCCACGCCAATACAAGGAGAACACACAGAAGGGCCCAAGCCAGCTAGCAGTTTTGAATCTGAAACCCTCATTCTGAGAGGTGGCAGTCCTAATTATTGCACCTCGCATCGCATCCTTATTCAAAATACTGATAGCCTAACTGGTTCACTTTTACTTCTATGACTTGAAAACTTAGGTTTATAAGTATTTTACTTCCACATTCTCACGTTATAGTTTTTGTAGTCTGAAATATCCTAACTGCTTTTTTAATTCAGTGCCTTAGAACTGTGCATGGGAAATGATTGCAGTAAAATGTTCAGGTGAAGCAGAGCGGTTCTAGGAAAGGATATGTTGTTGGCTACCTTGACTGGATAGCATCTTAGTAAATACATCTATACGTTACAGTGCATTTTGCTGACCATTTGTGATAATGCATTGCTCTCGACGGTTGATGGGTATCTTGTCCTTCCAGTTGAGGAAGTTGGAAAACTCCAGGAAGTTGATTAGTCCGTCCTTGTCTGTGTCGCAGTAGTCCATGAGGGCATCCAGAACCTGTCTGCTCACATGTAGCTGGAACTGATGGCACACTGCCTGCAGGTCCTCTTTGTCAATCATTCCCTTGCCTGCCTGGAGAAGTACATGAACGAAAAGGCTACAACTACAGGATGTTTGACAAGAGTGAGACCAAGATAAGATAGGTAGTAGCATTGTTACTTTATCACACGTCCAAACAACAGGGTCATATCCCTAGCCTTAACTCAAACCAGAGACATTTTGACATGTCAAAACTGAGGTATTCACTGCCGAAAGGCCTAAGTGAAACATTTTAATTAATTATAACACCTGTGATTTTCGTAATTAAATTGATAACTCTTTGATATTAAAAGACTTTGTCGAATTTGTACACCTTTAACAGTGTCACTGTATTTTTTTAAGTTGCTCTAAATGTGATAAGTTGAATGGTCAGAAGTATGAAATCATACCTTGTCATAATGTCTGAACGCTTGCAGCAGGGAGGAGAAGTTTTGGAAATTGACTTTCTTCAGGTCGTATTGCAATGCGCCGACCATGCGCTGTCTGTCTCGGTCTCTAATGTATTCATCTGGCACTGTGGAGTGGAGCAGAACTCCAACATCTGTGCATGAAGCAGACAAAATGTTATTTGTTGACTTTAACACAAAAGCTCCAGTTTATGAATTGTTCTTCAGGAAACATTACATCTGCTGGTTTTCAAATATATAACCCGGGAAAGATTCATAGACTCTACCAAATTCATCAGGCTGCAAGAGATTTCCAAAGGTGTGATCTGGTGGAAGATTTAAGGTAATTCCTCTCCTGAAAATATAGTTTTACAGCGAGGATAAAGTTCAACATTAGTTAGTAAAGGATAGTCAAAACATTGGTCAATAGTAGTGAGACAGAAACTTACAAATTCTTAGTTTTGCCAGTTTGTGGCAGCATCGTTTCCCTGTTTCCAGATCTCTTCCACACAGGTTCTGGATTGTAAAACCTATGGCACAATAACATAAATGCAAGGTCAGTGTGACGAAGGTAACTTCGTCACTATGGACTGACTGCTTCAGGCCGGGTAATTGTGTGCACCTGGTGTCCTGTGTTGTCTCCTCCCCCCCTCACCTGTGTCTTGTTGTGCTGATTAGTGTGTGTATTTAGGCTCTGTTTCCCTGTCTGTTGGGAGGCTGGTAGTGTTTTTGAGATCTTTGTGGCTGCAGGATGGGTGGAAGGAGAACAGCAAGATTGAGGCTGTGAACTTTGTACCCAGGATTTTAATAAATGCCCACGTCGGGTTATATTTTTGGACGTTCTGCCTCTGCCTCCTTGCTTGGTCTGGGCCGCTCAACGGTCAGCTTCACAATTGGTGTCAGAAGTGGGATTTGACCAAGTAAGGAGGTGAACATTTTGAGAGGAAAGAAGAGGGACCAAAGAGAGGAACCGCGGCTGGGGGTGGCTATGCCTGGAACGGACCAGGGGGCCACGGCTGTTGAGGCAGCAGGAGACAAGAAACAAGCAGCAGGAGACGAGAGACAAGCAGGTAGAGCAGCTGGAGAAGGAGAAGAGGGAACTCCAGGAGCGCCTGAAGAACCAGGAGAAAAAGATTGACTACTTTGAGAGGGCTGAACGCATTGAACATGAGCAGCGAGAGGAGGAGGATCGGGAGTACCAGGAGCGTCTGCGCAAACTCGAGGAGCAGGAACAAAAACAGCGCGCTCGTCAATAGGAGATCGAGGAGCGGGAACGCCGTCGTGACGAAGAGAAACGGGTCCCAGCCGAGGAGAAACCCAAGGATTGGAGCGAAAAGGAGGTTGCAAAGAACACTGTGCTTCCTGGGGAGAGGGGGAAGGAAATGTGACGAAGGTAACTTCGTCACTATGGACTGACTGCTTCAGGCCGGGTAATTGTGTGCACCTGGTGTCCTGTGTTGTCTCCTCCCCGTCGTCCTCATCATCATAATCCTCCTCATCATGGCGACGGCGCTCAGTTCTGTTTTCCGATTCTTCTTTTAATTCTGTCACCTGGCCTTGTATTTTTTTTAAACTCTAGGTGCATGTTCCTCCATCTCTGCTCTTGGTGCACAGACTCTTTCTCCCATTGCTGATCTCTGGATGTATTGAAACAGACAAGAGACTTCACCATGTTTGTCAATTCCTCCAGTTGCTCAGGAGTTTTGTCTGCTGTCGCCCCTTGCTGGACCGGTGCACTGTCATCTGGCTCCATCTGTTTCTCTGACTCACGACGACGAGCCCCCAATATTGACACAGTATTGGCACATGATTTAAACAACACACTTTATCAATGTATGAATATGTTTATTGACAAATTGATTGAATTGCATCGTTGTGTACAATTCATTTTCTTTAAGTTAGGTATACGAATCAATAGCTAGTATCATGGAAATCATCCACTAAACACCTGTGCCCACTTATTTCAGTACTTACTTCTTAGTCTCCCCCAGCCAGTGGAGAGTTTTGCCAATAATACGTCCGTCAGTGAAATGAGGTGTGGGGATCCCAAACCTGCTGTCTTTACTGTAGTGACCCATGTCATACTTTCTATCAATCCTCTCACCTGGAGAGAATTGTAATTTTATTGTGACATCACATTTCAAAATCAGCAACAAAATGCACAAATAGTTTTAATTTAGGTAGTGACAATAAAGGCCTTATGCACCTAATTATTGTTTTTCCTTTCGTCTTACCAACAAAATAGGCGTTGTGGCTACGAATGTAAGACTCATGTCCCTCCTGAGCTTCCCTCTCCAACTCCTCTGCTGTCTTCGAAGGGTTAATAATCTCATGCATATCCAACCCTGGGAACAAAGTGATGTAAGATTGTGATTGTAAACCATCTTATGTATGCCGATGATCTGGCAATTGTTTCTCCTAGCAGTGCTGGTTTTCAACAGTTGCTAAATGTTTGTTCTGATTACGGAGTCAAATTTGATGTTAAATACAATGCTAAGAAGAGCGCTGTAATGATCTGCAGAGCAAAAGGGGATAAGAACCTTTGTTTTCCAACATTCCATCTATCAGGACAGGTGCTGTCTGTTTGCTGTAACACTAAGTATCTGGGACACATCATCACAGATGAAATGGCTGATGATGATGACATGTATAGACAGTGGCGTGTCTTATATATACAAGCCAACATGTTGGCTAGAAAATTCTCTTGAGCCTCATCCCAATACCCCTCCTCGACTCCTCTCTTCCCCTCCTCCGGGACTTGACCCGGAAATCGTTTAAGACACGCCATTTTGAAGGACATCCCAATAGCTGAAATGCACACGGAGGAGTCGAGGAGGGGTGAGGGAGGACAAATTCATCTGTCGATTGAGTGTTTCTCATAACTCTGTCATTATGCTGCTGTCAAATCCGTGTTTCAGTGCTGTACGATACCAGTCACCTCTGTGGAAACATTGGTATAACTGCCTTTTTTAATTTATATTTGAGTGTTGTATATCTTGTAATAATGGACCAAGAGTCTCTTTTAAATGATGATGATGATAAGACAAAAAAAAAGAAGACTCATCCTTCCCACTCTAACTATAATTATTCATAAAACTAATTAAATCTGGTCATTTAATAGAAATAGTGACGCAAGAACATGGTTGACTTTTGCAGTTAACAGACAATTAAAATATAGTCTGGTTGATTCACATACCTCTAATTGTTTTCACACCATATGTAGTTTTGTCTGTAGTCCTGCCTACTGGGGCTTTACTGGAGGTGTACACTGCTTCACTGAGCTCTTGTAATTTTTGCTGGAACATGGTCTTTTGAGGAGGATAAAGCACACTGCTGCCCTGTTGGAATCAGGTAGAAAAAAAAGAAGGTTAGATCTGTGTTTTGGTTGTGTTGGATGCTAAGAATTTTATGTAAAGTCAGCTTGTGCCAAAATAAATACTGAACAGTAAAACTGACAGTGATCTTCTTTTCCTAACTTGATCCATAAGCTACTTTTTATTTTTATTTTACAGACTTTGAATGAGGCATTAAGTAATAACACACTGTTAGTTTTGAGGGCTATTGACCTAAACAGCCCACCAAATGTTGGGTGAAAAGTAGAAACCTTTATACAGTCTATGATAAAAACCCTTCTTTTTGCCACTTTTACCCAATAAAAAGTGAGTTTGCTTGTGTGTGGTACTTACAGTGAGGGAAGTTTTGGTGCTGATGCCATGAACAAGGGTACTGGCAACATCTGGATCATTTGCCTTTCCTTGGTGCACTCTGACAGCTCCTGGTTCTGGATGGGTGCTGCTGCAGAACTTCCTTACCACTGGTGGGGTAGGGGGCTGGAAAGGAAAAATGTTGACATGGCATATTAGCAGGGCTGCACATAACTGGTGCGCAGGTGCGCATGCGCACCTCCGCCAAAAAAAGAGCACCGGGTCATTTGAAACAAAGCGCATTTGCGTACCAACATTGAGAGAGGGAGAGAGAGAAGGGAAAAGAGAAAATAGAGGAGAGAAGAGAGAGAATGATATTTGCGAGTTGCATATGAACCATGATATGAACTCAGGGCCGGCCCGTAGCACTGGCTAGATGTTCGCCTAGGGCGCCAGATCTGGGGAGGTGCTGCGCTGGCAGTTCTGGGAGGGAAGAAAACATTTTGACCGTTGGGTCTCATCCTAATTTTCGGCCTTGATGTAACAATATTCATAATTAAGTAAATGTAACACCCTTTTCACCCCGGTTACACCTTTCATTTGCCCTGTACGATGGGCGCTGTAAGTGATGAAAATGGGGGATGTTGGCTTATCTGGCGCCCGCAGCTCACAGACAAAATGCGAGTGAGAGGGAGGGTGCACCGGTACCAGCGCTGTTGTTATTAGAATCCGGTGCCGTGCTAGCTGCTCTAACGGATATAAGAAGAAGATGTTTCTACAATAATGTGGAGGGAGAGTCCTCTCCAGTCAGACTGAGAGGCTGATACTACAGCTCAGTGAGGTAAGGACTCTTAGTCTAAGTTCAAACGGTTTGGTCACAATTTATGTAAACACATATTTCCAAGGCACTCCTTTATAATTATTGGGATAAACAGGTTTGAAATCATTCCAATGTATAAGACAGTAACCAAAAATATCCTTTAAAACTGGAGAGATACAAAAAAAAATGCATAAATAAATAAATGTTAAGGTAAAATAAGATATGAATGAACAACACAAATAAAATAAGTTACATTCATTTGTTATTGGCTATGGTAGGTTATTGGTTATGTTCACATACTTATTTGATTACATCCACTTGTCTAAGATGACAACAGAGACTTTCGACCCATAACCAGCTGTTGACTTGTGGATGCAAGCATCTAATCGCAGACTCAACCAGAGAGGAAGAAGTAGGCCTACATCATCAGCTACCATGTCTGACAGAGAGGAAGACAGTGAGGAGAACAGTCAGGAGGGTAGTGATGACAGCTTGTAGGATTACTGGTCGTGCTAATGTTGTCTTGTGTTCACCTCTGCATGTGTGTTCTGTGTGCACCTCTGTGTGTTCAGTGCTGTGTGTCTGGCAAATAAAGTCAAGACCCCTCAAAAGTTACGGTTTATTTCATTTTAAGGATGAGCACCAAGCAACATCTCCAGGTGCTCCTTTGAGAACCAGGGCAAAAAAGTTATGTGCACCCCTGCATATTAGACAAAGAAGTGCAGATGTAAATTCAAAATATAAAAAATCTGTTTGCCACCTTACCTTACTATTTTTATATCTTCAATTGTGCCAAAACGCAAACGTTGCACCCCATACAGTCCATGCTTATACCACCACAAAGAAAATGCTAAACACACAAATGCAAACCCAAAAATAAAACGTACCCTTGTCGCTTCTTGCATACAGGATTTAGCCCTGTCTCCTTCAGGTATACGTTTCCCGGCCTGGTTTCAAAAGGAACACATAGTAGTCAGTGTACAGGAACAACCAAAGCAACGTTTAAATTAGCTACTGCGCACGTTTGCATTTATCACAGGAGTAAGCTAACGCAAAATTAGCTAGCATCTTAAAATCGACTTACCGTTGGTATGTTTGGACATGTGTCTCTGACGTTATATTTCGGTTGGTGAGAGGTATTTCCGTCAGTCATGTTTCACTCCAATTTACATACAGCAGCAACCAATTCAATTGTAGTATTTTTCCTTCTCGACCTAGAACCAAACTGTATTCAACTTCCTAGTTAAGCAAGTTAACGTTACCCCACATTCTGCAGTCAGGCACTGAGGAATAGTGCACCTGTTTTGGCGTTACTAAGCAACACCAGACAATTCAATTAAAAACACTGATAAAGGGTAACGTATGGAGCTATTTCAGGGTCATAAGTTTTGATCATTCAAAAAAATACAATGTATTTGAAAGTTCAAGTTTTTATCCTGATCTTTGAAAAATACAATGATGTATTTAAAATAAAAATAAGTATTTGAAATAATTTTTCAGGTTGAATATTATTTTCAGGTTGAATATTATTTTCAGCAATTTTTTTGAATAAAATATTTATTTTCAGATTTCACTTTTATACATATTTTGATATTTGAATCCTTATTTTTTTCAGTTGCAGATTTTTCGTTTTCAGATTGAAAACAATTATTTTTTCAGTTTCAAATCTTGTTTTTTCAGGTTTCACATTGCTTTTCACTTTCAGATCTTTTTTTTCGCTTTCAGACTTTTGGCCCTGATGTTGCTTGGGGGGGCGGGGCTTAGCAAAGAGTAGTTTGGCTTCCTGAGTGACAGGCCTCCCTCTGTCATGTTGCCTTCATGGATGTTAGGTAGCGCGAAAAATATAACTCAACACTTTCTATACACAATACTCCCGTGATTGGTGGTAAACAAAACTGAAGCACAGTTTATTGCTCTTATACCTTGATTTTTGCTACTACGATGCTCAACTGCTCGCTTAACGAACTTTGACGCTGGTATCAGTTTACCACCAATCACGGGAGTATTGTGTATAGAAAGTATTGAGTTATATTTCTCGCGCTACCTAACATCCATGAAGGCAACATGCCTGTCACTCAGGAAGCCAAACTACTCTTTGCTAAGCCCCGCCCCCCCAAGCAACATCAGCGTCAAAAATCTGAAAGCGAAAAAAAACGATCTGAAAGCGAAAAACGATCTGAAGGTGAAAGGCAATGTGAAACCTGAAAAAACAAGATTTGAAACTGAAAAAATAATTGTTTTGAATCTGAAAACGAATAATCTGCAACTGAAAAAAACAAGGATTCAAATATAAAAATATGTATAAAAGTGAAATCTGAAATAAATATTTTATTAAAAAAAATTGCTGAACTGAATCAAAATAATATTCAACCTGAAAAATTATTTCAAATACTTATTTTTATTTTGAATACATCATTGTATTTTTCAAAGTTCAGGATAAAAACTTGAATTTTCAAATACATTTTATTTTTTTGAATGATCAAAACTTATGACCCTGAAATAGCTCCATAGTAACGTTAGTTTAAAATAACTTTTGCGTGAATACAAACATGTTTAATAATAAGACATTTGTATGACTTGATGTCAATTGATACTCGATTAATCACGAATATGAGGAAAAAGCGTTTTTGTATTTCTGGACAGATGCTATTTTTAAACGTAGGAGTTGATGTTTCTCTCAGCAAATAACTCCTCTGCAAGTCTTCATCGTCTTTTATTTTCTGTGTTGTACTTCTTTGGAAAAGCACATAGGCCTACCAGTAAATTGGGAAAAAATTCTAACATATTATTGGTCCGTCGTAGCATTACGTAGGCGGATTGTCAATTCCAGTCATACGATCTGTCATCATCCTTCGTACAATGCGAAAAGGGAAGTTGAAAGAAGTGGGAGAGGGACATCGCGGAGCCTTATGAAATCTAACGATACGGTAGCTGTCTGGGTCATCGAAACACTGTGAACAGACACTAAAGTGCCACGAAGATTGTCCTGAAGACACCATTCACAGTAAATAGCTTCCTGTTTTGGTAGGTGAGTAGCTAATATTAGCGTTAGCCAGCTAGCTAATGGCTATCCGGAGGGCTCCTCCCGGCCACTGCTAAACAACGTTCACTGTGTTAGCCAGCCCATGTCTATTATCTGGCTAGCTAACGTTAGCTAGCAAACACTGGAAGGGCCAAGCTAGTTAGCATAGTAATTTAACGTTTTACGGCTACTCAATCGGAATCAGTCGTAATGTTAAGATTACCTACGTGTGATATAATATAACTAACATAAGCGGCTCTATTTTGTCCACTGATTGATGAGGGAGTTCACTTGTTTAACGTCATGCAGCTAAGGCTAGCTAGCTGTCACTAGCTGTACACACCCAAAACTGCATCATCTGTGTTTTGCCATTCTCCAATGTTATGTTGAGTGGGATGTCAAATCGAGTATCTTTGATCTTGGTGATAACGATACTGCCCAGATTGAAACAAGCGTTACATTGGCAAATGTATACTTTCTTATAGGAATTGATTGGTTTTGACATGTTTAACTTGCTAACGTTAGGTAGCTATGCTGCTACGGCTAGCAGTCGTTAATTGTTAATGCGAGCCAGTCAACAACAACATAACATGTTATTTGTGGTTAACTGCGTGTCGTAATGCGATTTCAACGAGTTGACAGTTATTATTTTTGGACTGATGCTTTGTGTTTACTTGGTTGGTTGTAAAGGGACATGTATAAGTTACAGAGAGAATCTGTTGTTGCCTGGTTAACATGGTTGATGTTATTATACACCTTATAAGTACAGACCGGAAGATTTAAAACTGTTTCCTAACCCTGCAACGTTTTCCCACATATGTGCTCATACCCGTGTGATTCTAATCTCCTTCGTGACAGTCTGCCTCATATTGCTTACAGCTACAAGCAGGAGTTGTTAGTGGTTTGTTGTTTCAGTAACACCAGTCGGTCAACTTGTTGTTCACTTGGTACAGGTGAGAAACTTTGGCAACTTGTAGAGGTTTCTGTCAGGCTGAAATGTGACTCTCATTTGCCAACCCTAGTATGTTTTTGTCCTACCTGTTACACTTATTTGCTCAGCTAGTTATGGCAAGCAACCAACTATTGTTTGGAAATGGAAAACAGTGCCTGGTAATGTGAAACTCTTGTTGACTGAATCATTGTATCTTCTGTTACATGTAGGTTTTCGGGTTTGGTCTGCTAATTCTAAGAGGTTCTATTAAAACCCCAGCGTGAACATATGACATTGACATGTTTCCAATTCTACCCCATACATAATTGTTGTAGTTTCCAAAAGATGGTTGTCTTTTTATTCTACATTTTCTTAAATCATGTACACCAACAATAATAACTCTACATTTGTTGTCATTAAATGCTACTTAAAGTATGGTATAATCTATTTTGAATTTGAAAAGGGCTCTGACTTAAAGGTTCACCAGTATAAAAAAAAATAACGATCACAGCATAAACCAGGTATGCCGCATTAGTTATTTTTATTGAGAAACTTTTTTGGGGTTTCTCACTTTGCGATTTGGGAATTGATATAGGTCATTAATGAGCTGCACACCTGGACAAGATTGTTCTACTTTGTAAGAAATATAGAAAGTTAAGCAGCAGAATTTCTCCATCAAGCCAAATGGAAATGTTTTTTGTTACATAAAACCGAGTTGTTAATATAGGTTTTGTTTGTACCGTTTTTATGCTTCCTTGCTAAAGCCTCTGTTTAAGGCTCATTAACCCAAAGAGAAACTACTAATCTGATGATTTAAGGCTCAAAGGGGCAACTTGGGCTGTATAGCTTACTTGTTAGAGATTGCGGGTTTGATCCCCTTTGCACACACATAATCAATGTGCTTAATGTCATTCTGATTCATAGTTGAAGACATTAAAATGTTGCTTATTTAAAAAAAAAAAAACGTGTACATTTGAATTTGAACCAAACATATTCCATTGACACTTTGTTTGTTTTTTTCCTCTTTCCTGCGCAGGTATTTTCTACACTTTTCTCAGTGTGTTAGCGTCCCGAGGAAGAGACAGGGCAGTCTGACATGGCAAGTAGAGGCGGAGCCACGCGACCCAATGGGCCAAATGCAGGCAACAAGATCTGCCAGTTCAAACTTGTGCTTTTAGGGGAGTCGGCCGTGGGGAAGTCGAGTCTCGTGCTTCGTTTCGTCAAGGGACAGTTTCATGAATTCCAAGAGAGCACAATCGGAGGTATGTACCTTGATATGGTCATGTTTTTGATTTTACCTGTGAAAAATTGTATTCAGAGATCACACACAAGTCACAGTAAAATGAGAAATGATAATCTATATAATCTTTAAAAGGGTATATAAACATATCAATAAATAGATTACAAAATGTGCATTTGTGGTGTTGGCATATAGGAAATATAACTGACAGGAATGGTGAAAAATGTCATCACATTACATAAAGACCAAAGCAGCATTCAAAAGATAAAAGGGGATATTGAATTGTAACTGTGAAAATGGCCAACAGGAATATTTGAATTCTTCAATCTCCGTATCTAGTTCCTGGTATTTCCAGGAATCGACGTCAGATTAAAGCAGCCAGTTATTGTCTTCTGAATCTAACACTTATTGCTTTTTGGCAAACATGCTGCTTACTGGATATTGAAAGGTTAAAACAAATTCCAGGTTTGTGACCCAAAGGTCATTGGTACGATTCCCACACTGGCATATATACATTTTATGAAAGTGTGCAGGCTGTTTTGCTGTCAATTAGTCATCCCAGAGTAAATACAAATTTAAAAATGTGTTTCGATTGAATCCCACCATACTTTATGCTCCAGCTCACATCCAGATTTTGTATTATCAGTATAAAACATGTTTGAAATCACTAGTGCCCGGTTTTCCAAATATGGATTTAGTCAACCATATAATCTGCCTGTGTGTGCCTCCAGCATTGGTTTTACATTTTAACTTTTGTATAGCTCAGTAGCTACATTACCATTTGTCATTGGTTCCTCTGCTTTGTGCCCCTGCAGCTGCTTTCCTGACTCAGACGGTATGTTTGGACGACACAACAGTCAAGTTTGAAATCTGGGACACAGCTGGTCAGGAGCGCTACCACAGTCTGGCTCCTATGTACTACAGAGGTGCCCAGGCAGCCATTGTGGTGTATGATATCACAAATGAGGTGAGTCAAGTGCCTTGTTATCTGTCATGTGGTTGTTTTTACCAGTGATGCTTTCACTAACTAGAGCTGGACCAACATTGCTGTGACTGATGAAAAGATAGAGATGGTCTCATCCTACATTTTCTTAATAGCAG